TTTGGAGAGGTTTTTTTCTGTAGGGCACGTGTGCTCACCAAAAAGACAGAGAGAGACAGAGAGACAGAAAGTGAGAAATCACCCCCTCAGAAGGATGGCTACACTGCAATTCCTTCTCCTCCATTCTCTTCTCAGGATCTTGGGCACGCACACACATGTGCTCGGTGTGAGTTTAAGCTACCGGGTCTGGGACTCAAACCGCTGTTGACTCCATGGGAGTCTAGTGGCATAGCCATTATGCCAACTGCTGGACCCAGCCTCTTTTTCTTTCAATGATCTTAGTTGCTAAGTTTATTTTCCCCTAAATTAAACCTATTAACTTTGTGGGTCAAAAGTCTTAGTAATTATATTCCTTTATATAGAAGATGTTTTTGTTATTTATTTATTTTTTGGAGAGGTTTTTTTTTTTTTTTTTGCTATAGTGCATGTGTGTTTGCCTGAAAGACAGAGACAGAGAGACAGAAAGCGAGAAATCATGACCTGGAGAGATGGGCATGCCACAATCCCTTCTCCTCTATTCTCCTCTTGGGATCTTGGGCACGCATGCACACGCGTCTGACATGAGTTTAAGCCACCGGGTCCGGGATTCGAACCGTAGCTGACTACATGGAAGTCCAGCAACATAGCCATTATGCTAACTGCTGGTCCTGAAGATGTTTTTGTTATTTAATGTTTTTTCCCTTTCAAACTAAAGAGTGCTAAGTTGATCTCTATGAAACAGGTCAACTCCTTTATATAAATTTTCTTTCTGAAGAAAAAATTAAAAAAAAAAAGCAAATATAGCAGGCTTCAGAGTTTAAAGGGTCTTTGGACAGTGGGCTCAATATACCCAGCCCTAGAGGGGTTAACTGACTTGCAACAATACATCCAGCCAGTGGCTGTGCTGGGAATGGCACCCAAAATATTAAATAGAAAATGGAATATTTTTATCACAATGAAACTGTGTCACAATAAAAAGTCATCTAGAAAGGAAAGGCACTTCTTGGCAAGGACCCAAGAGACAGGATTAATGAGGACATTAGTTTACATTTATTAAGTGATTTCTATTTGTCAGACATTGGGTAAGTCTTCTTTATTTATCTTATTTAACTATAACAGCAACCCTTTTGGGGTATGTATGTATTATTACCACAGTTTTATAAATGAGAAAGTTAATATGTAAGAGATTCACAACTTTGTACATGTTTATTTATTTAATTTAATTTATTTTTAGAGAGATTTTTGCTATGGGATATGTGTGCTCACCAGAGAGACAGAGAAAGACAGAGAGACAGAAAGCAAGAAATCACCACCTAGGAGGGATGGCCACGACACAATCTCTTCTCCTCCATTCTCTTCTTGGGATCTTGGGCACGCATGCACATGTGCCCTAAGTCACTGGGTTTGGGGCTTGAACCATGGTCAACTAAGTAGGAGTCCAGCAATGTAACCATTTTGCCATCTGCTGGTCCCTATTTACTTATTTACCTGAGAGGTTTTTGCTTTAGGCACTGGCTCACCTGAAGAGAGAGCGAAACAGTGAGAGAGAGTGTGAGAAATCACCCCTCAAGGGGGAATGGCCCCAGTGCAATCCTTTCTCCTCCCTTCTCCTCCTGGGATCTTGGGCATGCATGCCCACATGCTCAGTGTGAGTTTCAAGTCACTGGGTCTGGGACTCAAACTGTGGTTGACCGTGTGATAGTCCAGTGATGTAACCACTATGCCATCTGCTGGCTCTGTACATGTTTATATTGATAAAATAGCAGTGGTAGAATTTGAACCCAAATCTTTCAGATGGAAATCTGTTTTTTTTTTTTTTTTTTTTGAATTGCCAGTGGGTGAGTGCACTCACATGAGAGAGAGACAGAGACAGTGAGAGTGAAAGCACTGTCCAACGGGGAGTGGTAACATCATGATCTTTTTCTATATTCCTTCTTCCCATTTAGGATATTGGGTCTTCATACATATGTGCTCAGCATGTTTCAAACCAACAGGCTGATATTTGAACCACAGTTTGTCACATGGGATCTGGCTCTTTTAATCCCTGATCTATGTGTGGGGCTGGCCCAAGAAATCTGTGAATTTAGCCAATACATTTTAGTACAAGGCTTGATCTATTTGTGTGTGTGTGGTTTACTTCCAATGAAGGGTCTCTTAAAACAAAAGGCTGCTCATTAATTAGGGAATCTCAAAAAAATTAAAAAAGACAGGGGACCAGCAGAAAGAAGGCACTGGAGAGGGCTAGTTGGCCCCTTTTGCCATCACTCCAGAGAATAATTAGTGCTCAGAAATATTTAGCTTTAATGATCGCTGGGCTTTCACATTGGACCCTGGAGTAAGTGACAGAGGGCAGCCATTTGGAGGAAGAGTATATCTGCCCATTAAGATAAGAAGCTCCCACAGGCTATTTGGATAACTTGGTAAGTAAGGCACAGGGATTCCAGAAGCAGGTACTACAGTGTACATGAGGCAAAGCATAAAAAAATCAACCGAACCAGAATCCAGGCCTAGAGCTGTGGGAAATGCAGATGAACTGAAATGTGCCAAAGATGTTACCAGAACAAAGCAACTAGATATTTTTTCTCTTGTAGCACATGATCTTGGGATACTTCTACCTAAAATAACTCAGTAAGTTCAGCTCATCCCCTCCCACCTTGTTCATCTAGTAAATAACAACTATACATTTGCAGCCTGTTCCACCTTGTATCTGTAAAAGGGACAGAGGAACATTACTGCTTCCTGAGACTGTTGGCAGAATTAAATGGTTTCATGTAAACTGAATCTTTAGGTCTGAGTTTGGTACACAATAAGTGCCAAATGTGTGTTTGTGAGTACATCATCATATTGTAATTGTTATTATATTATGATTGCGAAGTGTTGGTGATTATAAATGACACTTTATTATTACAATAACAATAAGCCAATTATATCACAGGGTCTTTCAGAGGATAAGTAGGGAAAAAATGAACTCATTCAACAAATATTTACTGGGTGCCCAAGTCTCACATACTGTTCTAAGCATTCAGTATAGAGCAACAGACAGACAAAAACTCTCTGCTTTGGTTTGAGGAGCTTACATTCTGATAGGGAAGAACCCTTTAAGGTAAGAAACACCAAACTCATCTTATTTCCTTTTTGATGGAATTAAATAGATATATAAATGAAGAATAGTCTGAGCTTATCTGGTTTTGACTGTTCATTCAATACCTTGTGGGGAGATTTGAAACTTTTAGAAAACACAGAGTAGTTTTTAACATGAGGAATAACAGAGAAAAGTAGTCAGATAGGATTGGTTGCAAGTAGGTATGGATGATATGATTCTGCACAAATGCTAAGATAGCAGCTATTTAGATTTTCTCGCTGAGTCTTCCCTAGGGCACTTCTGCCTTTTTACACCATTTGTATTTTCTCATTTTGCTTATACCTTACTCCAGTGCCGATATATCTTTGTTTAGTTGCCAAAAGTGTATGAATTTACCTCATGTCCTCAGGATGATAGTCTGACCTGGCCTAAAGACATCAAAGGTGTTCCTTGCTGGTGCATTGGTTTTAAATATCTAATGAACTCTTTCCCATTTCCCAGCTTCCCCCTCCACCTCCCCCCCACAGGAAGTACTGCTTTCTGCTGGTTCTTGCCTGCCGTGGCTCAGCCTGTTTCAGTCCAGTTCAGCATTGTTCCCTCTTCCTTCCTCATGGAGGCACATCATAGCCCTTCTATTCTGTAAGGGTGCCGTTGGGCTAGTCCAGATTTTAATCTTTCTTTAAGTTTTATGTGGTAACTTGTGTAAAAAACTGATATAATTAGAAAACATTTTATAGTCCTAAGCATGCATGTTTATGTGTATACACACACGCATGCACACACACACAGAGTCTACAGTTAATTCCTGAACAACATGGGGACTAGAGGATCTGAGCCCTTGGTAGTCAAAAGTCCATGTTTAACTTTAGACTCTCCTCAAACCTAACTACTTACAGCCTACTGTAGATGAAAAACCTTATCGATAACATGAATAGTCAATTAACATGTATTTTGTATGTTGCATGTATTATACGTTATATTTTTTACAGTAAGGTAGAGAAAAGGAACTGTAATTAAGAAAATAAGAAAGAAGAGAAAATACATTTACAGTATTTATTTATTTTTAAAAAAGAATTATTTTATTTATTTACTTACTATTTTTCCATATGAGTTTTGCCAGAGAATGACAGAGAGAGAGAGAGAGAGAGAGAGAGAGCGCGAGCAAGCAAGCTGCCAGGTCCAGGACTTGAACCGCAGTTGGTCATGTGTAATTCCAGCACCTTAACCACCATGACACCTGCTGGCTCCTACAGTACTTATCAAAATAAATCCACATATAACAGGACCTGTGCACTGCAAACCTGTTTTGTTCAAGGGTCAACTAGACACACTTATTTTTCTCTTGGTTTCACTATCTAGAAGAATGAATTGTTAAACTCTAATGTGAATTTCCTCCCACAAAATGGAAGATGTAAAACATTATAGCCCACTATATCCAGTTCCCTTTTTGTTGAGTTCTTACACTGAAGTTACATAAAATAGTCAAGATGCCTAACTTTGATTTTATATTAATCTGGACTTATATTATCAAGTCATTTAGTATAAAAAAAGCCATAGGAACCCAGCACCAAAGGGATTTTGGAACTCATCTGATTCAATGCTTTACATTTGAGAAAGCAAGGATTTCAAAAGATGAACTGACTTTTCCAGAGTCCTATCAGTTAGAATTAGAGCCAAAGACAAAGTCAGGTTTCTGACTCCCAGTCGCTTTTCCCCTTGTCTAAATCTCTTTTAGATAACAAGATAGATTGCATACAAAATTTTAAAGAGTGCCAAGGGATTATCTTAGGCGGATTTCCTCCGAATTTACTTAGAAGGTGACTGGGATTGAATTGAATTTTAGCTGCTGTATGATCTTCCAAGAAATAGCCTGTCTTTAAATAACAAAATATGCCCTGACCATAGGATTGCTTCTTTCCTTTATACAGGAAGAAGGCCTATGGCTGTGGGAAGGAACAACACAATTGTTACAAAGTTCATCCTCATGGGATTTTCAGATCATCCTCAAATGAAGATTTTCCTTTTTGTATTATTTCTGGGGATCTACCTCTTGACCCTGACCTGGAACCTAAGCCTCATTGCCCTCATCAAGGCGGACCCTCACTTGCACACACCCATGTACTTCTTCCTTAGTAACCTGTCTTTCTTGGACATCTGCTATGTGTCCTCCACAGCCCCCAAGATGCTCTCTGACATCATCACAGAGCAGAAAACCATTTCTTTTGTTGGCTGTGCCACGCAGTACTTTGTCTTCTGTGGAATGGGGCTGACAGAATGCTTCCTCTTGGCAGCCATGGCCTATGACCGTTATGCTGCCATCTGCAATCCATTGCTCTACACGGCTCTTGTGTCCCATACCGTTTGTTTAAAGATGGTGGCTGGGGCCTATGTGGGTGGGTTCCTTAGTTCTTTGATTGAGACATATTCCATTTATCACCATGACTTCTGTGGGCCGAACATGATCAACCACTTCTTCTGTGACCTTCCTCCAGTCCTGGCTCTGTCCTGCTCTGACACCTTCACCAGCCAGGTGGTGACCTTTGTTATGGGTGTTATTGTTGGAGTCATGTCTGTCCTTGTGGTCCTTACCTCTTACAGTTTCATTGTTACTGCTGTCCTGAAGATCAGCTCAGCTAAAGGTAGGACCAAGGCATTTAGCACCTGTGCCTCTCACTTGACAACTGTGACCCTCTTCTATGGTTCTGGTCTGTTCATGTATATGAGACCTAGTTCCAGCTACTCCCTAAACCGGGACAAGGTGGTGTCCATATTCTATGCTGTGGTGATTCCCATGGTGAATCCCATCATCTATAGCCTTAGGAATAAGGAGGTTAAAAACGCCATGAAAAAAGTAGTGGAAAGGGATCGTATGCTTTTTCACAGGCATTCATTTTTCTGACCTCTAGCTAATGTTTAAAATGGAGCCATGAGCTGGGTCAATTGTACAGGCATTTATGAAATTTTGGACTAATTAACATTTATAATAAATTGTGTGGTCCTGGCTCTTTTCCCACTTTATAAGATTCTGTTTACTTATTGTCTATTAGAGAGAGAGTAATTTGGCTATTATTGTTTCTAGAATAAGTAGCGTTATATAGATGGAACTTTTAAATGTGGGATTTAGCAGAAAACTTTATGACAACTAAAAAAAAAAAAAAAAAAAACAAGAAAGGAAAAAAATTCCTGGACTATCAAAATAGAGTTTCCATCTGTAGGAGGAAAGCCACTGAAAAATATGTTATTCTGGCTTCAGGGTGGTGTTTGTTTTTTTCCCTTTATGAGAGAGATATAAAAAGTGATGCTGGGATCCATCCCCAGTCTCAGCTGGCCTAGATTATGGCATAGGCAACCCCGCATGCTTAGGGAACTCAGGATGTGAACCCAAGAACTTTTCCTATTTGGGTCCAGTTGCATTACCACTGTACCACCACCACCTGGCCCTTTAGGGTTATGGTTTTTAAGATATTGTATAGCATAATAACTTGAAGAGAGTAGCAATGCTTCTTCTTTTTTATTTTTCTTTTTTGGAGAGGTTTTTCCTATAGGGTGAATGAGCTTGCAAGAATGACAGAGAGAGACAGAGAAACAGAAAGCAAGAAATCACCCCCCGGGGGGATGGCCAAGCCACAGTCCCTTCTTCTCCATTCTCCTCTTGGGATCTTGGGCACGCACACACACACACCTGGCATGAGTTTAAGCTACCAGGTCTGCGACTCAAACCGTGGTCGACTATGTGGGAGTCCAGTGACATAGCCATTATGCTAACTGCTGGTCCCGAGAGTAACAATGCTTCTAAGCACAGATGCCTTTCCTTCTTCTGAGATTTCATTTTTATTTATTTTTTTAAAGAGATTTTTGCCTTAGGGTACATTTACTCACTGGAAAGAGAAAGACAGAGACAGTGAGAGGGAAAGTGAGGGATGACCTCCCAGAAGAAATGGCCACATCACAGTCCCTTCTCCCCCATTTTTTCCTCCTGGGATCTTGGGCATGCATGCACACATACCTGGTGTGAGTTTCAAGCCAGTAGGTCTGGCACTCAAACTGTGGTCAGCTATGCAAAAGTCCAAAAATGTAACCGCTACACCATTTGCTAGTCCTTCAGAAGAGATTAAAAATATCTTCTGAGATTCTTAAATCCTTTCTTTATAGACAGGACAGACCCTCTCATGTTTGAGAATTATAGCCATAGTGATCCACTGTGACTAATGGGATATATTAATACTCTTTAGAGGTATGAAGGTAGAAATCTTGATTTGGACCTTGATGTCTGCACAAATGAGACAACCCCTTCGCCAGCTTAATCAACTATATGATAAGTGGTAATTAAAGTGATTTAAATAAACCAAGGAATATTGCATAAGCCTCAAATAACGTTCTAACCAGCTCTTGGGACTTCATCTCATTGAGATGAAGAGTTCTCTATTTGTATCAGGTTTGGGATAAGTTTGGGAAGAGAACTTAACAAGGGAATTGAAGACAATAATATTTCTCTTCCACATCTTCTCAGAACTTGCTATATGCCTTTGAATTGGCAGTAAAGAACTAGAATAAATTCATTCAGCTGAAGCCTTTCTTGGGTAGTCTATAAGTAAGTAAATAATATGTGCCTTGTGTCCTTGGGCAAGTTTCTTGGATTCTGTAGGCCTCAGTTATTCATCTGTAAAATAGTAATAATTGTTTCTTGGCTTCATCTGAAGAATTAAATGAATGAGTATATGTAAACAGAATAGTGCCTTGTGTACAGTAAAAGTTTAAGAGGGGCCATTATTATTATTATTATTATTATTATTATTATTGCTATATAATAATTTTTCACTGCCCAAGTCAAAGACTTGGAAAACACTTTCTTGGTTTAGTAGAAAGTGTGATTTTTGTAATAGCTTTCATGTGGTAGAATGAGTCTGGGGAGACTATAGCAAAGTAGTTAAGAGTAGTCATTCTTTTTCTTTTTCTTTTTCTTTTTCTTTCTCTTTTTCTTTTTCTTTCTCTTTCTCTTTCTCTTTTTCTTTTTCTTTTTCTTTTTCTTTTTCTTTTTCTTTTTCTTTTTCTTTTTCTTTTTCTTTTCTTTTCTTTTTTTCCTGTAGGGTACTTGCATTTGACAGAGAGAAAGAGAGAGGAAAAGTGAGAAATCACCTCCCTACCCTGGTGGGGGGATGACTGTGCTGCAGTCTCTTTTCCTCCATTCTCCTCTTGGGATTTTGTCCACACACACCCACACACACATGCCCAGTATGATCTTTTCTTTTTTTTGGAGAGGTTTTTGCTATAGGGTGCATGTGCTCACCAGAAAGACAGAGAGACAGAAAGACAGAAAGTGAGAAATCACCCCCCCACCCTCCCCCCAGGGAGGATGGCCACGCTGCAATCCCTTCTCCACAATTCTCTTCTAGAGATCTTGGTATGCACACACACATGCCTCGCATGAGTTTAAGCCACCAGATCCAGGACTCGAACTGCAGTTGACTTTGTAGGAGTCTAGCGACATATCCATTACACCATTTGCTGGTCCCCAACCCAGTATGATTTCTCAAGCCTCCAGGTCAGACTCAAAGGATATAGTTGACCATATAGGGTCCAGTGCCTTAATCCCAACGTTACCTGCTGGCCCAAAAATCTTCATTCTTAAGTAACCAGAAATGTGATTAACAATCTCATCTCTGCCATTTTGTAGGTATGTGGTCTTATGTAAGTTACTCATAAGTTCCATTTTCCTCACCTGTAAAATTAGGGTAATAATTGCATCTACCTCATAAAATTCATGCAAGTAGGTGAGACTATGTATGAAAAGGGCTTAGCCCAGTGTCTAGCATAGGGTAATACATGAACAATATTAGCTTATATAATTAGTCAATTAGTCCAGTTGGGACAAATCAAGAAAAATCCAGGGTCGTGTGCCGAAAGATCATTGTAATGGCTTTGTTATATCCACTCACATTGGGACATACCGTCTCCGTGAAAAAGCACACTCATAACGCTCATGCCTGCTATTTCTCTTGCTTATTGGAAGTAGTGCTTAGGAAATTAGAAGGAGCACGGGTTCCTAAAGTGGCTTCCCATGGAAATGTTACCCATGTGCCAAGTCGATCACTACTGAGACTCCTCCCTCTGTTCCTTATGGCCATTTTCCCCTCTGCTTTTCTTACCTGTATGCCACCTCACCAAGCTTCTACCTTCAATTTACCAATTTTCAAAGCAGTAGCTAATAAGTTCTCCTAACGCTATAATAAACACATAATAAATAAATAAATGAACAAGTCAATCAGTCAATAAATGGGGAAAATGCTTCATACTTTGATTTTATATGAAGCTGTCTCTGATCCAGTATCATCTCTGAACTGTTTTTATGAGCAAAGATTCTGAATGTAAAGTCTTTATAAAAACCTCTCTTGTTTGTCCACATCCAGGGATGAGAATATTCTCTTTACATAGAGACTCTAGAAGTTACTTCCGTGGTTTGCCCAACCGCTGAGGAAAAAGTAAAGCTCATTAGTTACCATTCACTCTAATGCATAAGATGGGGATGGTTACAAGATCTGAATAAGGCAAAAATGGTTTGGGGCTTATGTAAGCCAGATGTTAAACAAGACTTTCCAAATAAGTGCATGTATTATTGGGTCTATACAAAGACATATATTAAATGATATTTTGGACACTAAAGGGACCAGGCATTTTATAGCTATTTGAAGTCCAACTGCCTCTAGGGAGGGCTAACTAACTGGAGATGGAATTCATTTTAGTAAAATTACCATAACCTAGGGTGTGGCCCTCCGTTTTCGCAACCTCCACAGATCTTTTCCAGATGGACTGAAGTTAACCAAGCTCAGAATAGCTAACTGCATAAGCTAGACTGACAGTTTTAGTTTTCAGTGGAGGACGAAACTGCCAAGCTTGTACTGGTGCCAGTGACACGATTCTCCATCTGGTCAGGAAACCACATAAGAAGATAAATTACTACCCCAAAGTCTATTTTAAGAGCAAAAGAACAAAGCAATGTGGATAATGTTTATTAGTGCCTGATGTGCCCAGCAGCAGGGTTTGGACAGCCTGAGGCCTTGGGCCAGGGGACTGACAAATTTTCTCTCCAAGTATTCCTTTTCCTCCCTTCCAAGATGACTGTCCTCCCTTCTAGCCAATACATAACTTACAGATTGTTGAATTGATTACTTTTACTTCTTTTGATCTAAAGCCATTTTTCCCCCTCTAAAATGGCTCTGCTACTTATTTTATTTCTCTCCCATGAGCTGATTTATGGTTTAATTTTGAAGGTTTTGCGGACACCTGACTGTTGTCCCTATGTACTACTCTCAATAATCCTCCTCCTCTCTTTGATGGGTACGTATGATTAGACTCAACTCCTAAGCTAATGAGTGATACCTCGAATTGACTCTGATGAGATTTTTAAACTTTTCTCTTTTTTTAAAAGGAGTTTATTTATTTTAGTTCTTGGGGGGGGGGATGTCAGTGCACACTCAAAGGGTTTTCACATCATGATCCATTCTCAGCCTGAGCCAGTCTTGATAATCATGGGCATGCACACACATACCCAGTGTGTACGGGGAGTCCACCAGATGTGAGCGCGGGGGCGGGGGGGAGGTCAGTATCAGAAAGTTTACATTACTGTGGTACCTCCCTGCCAGCCTCAGAGATTGCCTAAAGATGAATAGTCTCGGGAGAGCTAGTGGCGTGGCAGTTAAGGTGACAGATCCTACATGGCTGGCCATGCAGTTTGAATTCTGGACCTGGTGGGTTGAAAAACAGGCAGGGCATGCACATGTGTGTGTACATCCAAAATCCCCAAAGAAGGGAGAGATGGAGGAAAAGGGATTGTGGTATGACCATCTTCCATGGAGGAGTGCTTTATCACTTTCTCTCTTTCCCCCTCTGGTGAGTGCATGC